AGACTAAGCCTTAGTCTAGAAGACTGTCTGTCATCCTGGATGTCCAGCCTTGGTCTGTCTGGGAAGTTGGGCCACTGTTGCTGTTACACCTGTACCAGTGGTTATGTGAAGACTGTCTGTCATCCTGGATGTCCAGCCTAGGTCTGTCTGGGAAGTTGGGCCACTGTTGCTCTTACATCTGGACCAGTGGTTATGTGAAGACTGTCGGTCATCCTGGATGTCCAGCCTTTGTCTGTCTGGGAAGTTGGGCCACTGTTGCTGTTACACCTGTACCAGTGGTTATGTGAAGACTGTCGGTCATCCTGGATGTCCAGCCTAGGTCTGTCTGGGAAGTTGGGCCACTGTTGCTGTTACATTGATATCATTAATTCTATTATTTATTGCTATTACAGTTGTTATCATATTTCACACTGCCATTGAGCTGCCATTGAACGTGACACTGTCAGGGTAGTGTGTACTGCTATTGTTATTACTTTGCTGTAAGTGTATTGAGTTGTAAACCTTAGCTTTTATTTACATTTGTCCAAATAGAAAATTTACTTACAAGAGATGCCCATCAGCAGTTTAGTTATGCAAATATGTTTTTAAAATCTTTTCTTTTTTAAATGAAGCCTTTGCATAGTTTGCGTAGTCTGGGCTAAAGCAAGTTGATCCTTAGATTCCCCGATTCAGACTGAATCAGAGTCGATGAAAACTTTGTGGTTTAAGGACATTCAAATAAAGGGCGCCAAGGAAAAACAGTAGTTAGTCTTTTTGTCAAGAAAATAATTATAAAATCCTATTATTTAGACAAGCGTGTGTTTGGAATTATAAGCATTGTATCAGTTGAGGGAGTGTTGACCTACGTGGTGGTAGTATTGACAACTACAACAATTACGCCACCACCAGCCAGCATGAGGCACCCGTGCTGGGTCGGGTCTGTAATGTCAGTAATCACGACGCGATGGGGAGAGAACACGTGTGTTTGTCCCGCAGCCGGAAAGACAACATCCCTGCACAACTTTCTGTTTCCTCAGAATTAATATCAAATGAATCTAAGGACTTAGGAGATTCTTTAACCGCATGTACATAACTAGCACTCTGGAGTTGTGGTCGATGTGTGTAGATACACTGGTTCTCAAAGGGGAAGGAGGTCATCGTAATCCTAGTGGGGAGCTGTTTGAGAGAGTGAGTGAGTGAGTTTAGTTTTACGCCGCACTCAGCAATATTCCAGCTATATGGCGGCGGTCTGTAAATAATCGAGTCTGGGGGGAGCTGTTTGTGTAACAACACTACCTGGAAAAGAAGGCGTTAGCAATTGTCTGACGTTCAACTTTTAAAATGATATTCAAATATATCGATTTCAGACAATCAAGTTTAGAAGATATTTCCTGTGATAGTCTTTATTTATTTTAGGAATTCAGAAAGTACACGGGAGATACCGCCGGTGTGTGGCAAACATCTTGACGCCGCGGGGGATGTGGTGCGGCAGTTATAGGATATTTGCAGATCATACACTTATAACGAACATGGATGTAGCAATCTTTGTTTTTAATGTTACGTTTACTTTCTCACTGGACGAGGGGTCGCCTCATAAACGCCAAGCTCACTTTCATAAGCATGTGACTAACAAAAAACGAAAAGACAAAAACACTGACGGACTACATCTGTATTTCTGGGAAACCACTTGGAACTAATCAGCACAAAAACGTGACTGATTGGGGAAAAGGTTCTTTCAACATACACACGCTCAAGCCTGGATCAACCTCTTGACACAGACCTCTCCATAGACTCCATCATCAGCCTCACTAAATCATGCATAACATCCACTAACTTCACCTGGGGACACAGCATTGTCGAACAGATCCACGGTCTCCCCATGGGATCCCCTCTTTCCCCCATCCTTACTGAAATCTACATGAGCCATTTTGAAGAAGCCCTGGCCTCCCTTCACCGAGCTCAACTGAGTCAAGAGGTCAGCGCCTTGAGCATGCACTAGTGCGTGGATATGTGCGCTATATAAATATCCTATAATAATAACGAGGACCGTCTCGACCACGCTCCAGAGGACACGCAAGCAAAACCTCCCATCAAATCAGCAGACTTCTAAAGCACCAGGCAGGCCTCGACACCATCTTCTCTGGCTCCCCGACCCCCAGGACCATACTCCAAAGCCAATGGCCGCAACCCACCCTCCACAAAGAAACCCCCAAAGGAGTGATCTACAAGATTATCTGTGAATGTGGTGAATCTTATATAGGCGAAACCAAGGATACCACATACAATCGGCCTATGAAAAATTAATCAAACTATAGAATCACCCTATCAGCTTGTTGTTACTACTTAACACCCCTTGTTTATGGCTTCATCACTTGTGATATTTGTTGTTCTTAGTCCCCAATTGGCCTCTTCCAATTATGTACCAGTTGTTTTTCAATTACACGCTGTTGTTAATGTCAATCTGATGTTTGTCACAACATACTATGTATATATGCTTCTTACCACTTGGTTGTAGTCACATTATGCTTGATAACGAATCTACATCGAAACATTGCTCTATGCAATAAAACAACAACTTATCATCCATAAAATTGTATGTTTCATATTTTACCTCTCATTGAGGTAGGGCGGTGGGTTTAATGCGTTCGCTCGTCTTTTTTTTATACTGCGATGCCGAAGGTTGTTTAAGTAAAACGATGTATATATCAAACGTTGTGAAGCACAGGGAGTACTCGACATGTAGACAAAGCTATTTGGAAAGAGGAGTCACATATCTTGCCAAACATTTTTTTGTGAATAGTTTCTCCCTGTCTCAGCCTGAGTGAGTGAGTTCAGATTTAACGTCACATCGGCATTACGAGGTCTCAGCCTGAAGACACGTTACATGGTCTCTTTAAATACTGACCAATGTGTTGAGGTCTGCAGCAAGGAATTGGCTATTTGACCACTTTTGAACAATGTAACAATACAGAAGCTGAATTTAGACGTCTTTACCCCAGCAACCAGCAACAACTAGCTCTAGCCCCCAGGCGGAGTAATGTGCCAATAACTAGTGCTAGCCCCCTGGCGGAGTAATGTGCCAATAACTAGTGCTAGCCACCTGGCGGAGTAACGTACCACTGACTAGTTCTAGCCACCTGGCGGAGTAATGTACCACTAACTAGTGCTAGCCACCTGGCGGAGTAATGTACCACTGACTAGTGCTAGCCACCTGGCGAGGTAATGTATCAACAACTAGCTCTATCCACCTGGCAGGGTAATGTATCAACAACTAGCTCTAGCCACCTGGCGGGGTAATGTACCACTAACTAGTGCTAGCCACCTGGCAGGGTAATGTATCAACAACTAGCTCTAGCCACCTGGCGGGGTAATGTATCAACAATGTACCACTAACTGGTAATGCTAGCCACCTGGCAGGGTAATGTATCAACAACTAGCTCTATCCACCTGGCGGGGTAATGTATCAACAACTAGCTCTATCCACCTGGCAGGGTAATGTATCAACAACTAGCTCTATCCACCTGGCAGGGTAATGTATCAACAACTAGCTCTAGCCACCTGGCGGGGTAATGTAACTGCTAGCCACCACTGACTAGTGCTAGCCACCTGGCGGGGTAATGTATCAACAACTAGCTCTATCCACCTGGCAGGGTAATGTATCAACAACTAGCTCTAGCCACCTGGCGGGGTAATGTACCACTGACTAGTGCTAGCCACCTGGCGGGGTAATGTATCAACAACTAGCTCTAGCCACCTGGCAGGGTGTGCCAACTGGCTGTAATGTATCAACAACTAGCTCTAGCCACCTGGCAGGGTAATGTATCAACAACTAGCTCTAGCCACCTGGCGGGGTAATGTACCACTGACTAGTGCTAGCCACCTGGCGGGGTAATGTATCAACAACTAGCTCTAGCCACCTGGCGGGGTAATGTATCAACAACTAGCTCTAGCCACCTGGCGGGGTAATGTATCAACAACTAGCTCTAGCCACCTGGCGGAGTAATGTATCAACAACTAACTCTAGCCACCTGGCGGGGTAATGTATCAACAACTAGCTCTAGCCACCTGGCAGGGTAGTGTATCAACAACTAGCTCTAGCCACCTGGCAGGGTAATGTACTACTGACTAGTGCTAGCCACCTGGCAGGGTAATGTATCAACAACTAGTGCTAGCCACCTGGCGGGGTAATGTATCAACAACTAGCTCTAGCCACCTGGCGGGGTAATGTACCACTGACTAGTGCTAGCCACCTGGCGGGGTAATGTATCAACAACTAGCTCTAGCCACCTGGCAGTGTAGTGTACTACTAACAAGTACTAGGCCGCCTGGCGGGGTAATCTACCAACAACCAGCTCTAGGCCAACTGACGTCGGTTCGCCAATATTCTACACAGGTGATTAAGTTCCGGTTTCACAGGACGTAGAATTCAGCTATAATGAACAATAACTGCTCCCGACTGACTCCTCACTCTAACCTACTGACTTCTAACATATGTTATATTTGACATTACACTTTCTCAGTAAAGTACACTTTCTAGGTTGAGTCCCATGCGAGATTCGAACCCACACCCTCAGAGTCAGGCACCTAATCGCCAGCACACAAAGTCAGACGCCTAGACCGCTCAGCCACCGCGGCTTCCACAAAATGGAAGTCGGACAACTGGTAGTCTAGACTGCGGACTTTGTGTACACCTCTGATAAACTTGTGTTAATTGGCACGGCTCCCTAGGCCGAAAGCTATGAAATACACAATGCCATTTTAGCAAATGATCAAATGTAACATAATTTATATTTGGGATCAGTTAGTAAAGTACAGACGATTAGGTGTTGGCGATTAGGTGCCTGACTCTGAGGGTGTGGGTTCGAATTCCGCATGGGACTCAACCCCAAAAGTACTAGAATCTGTACTTTATTAAGAAAGTGTAATCCCAAATGTAACATATGTTACGTTTGACCACTTTCTAAAATGGCATTGTGTATTTGATAACCTACTGACTGTCAGACAGAAACATACGACATTACCGTGAACACTGTCCGGTCCAGACGTCCATAGTATCAGCATCAGAGTCAGTGCCAGGGAACTCACGGTGCTTCCTGTCATCTTGGTCCCCCAAATACAGTCGCTCAGGAATGGCCTACTGGATAACTGGCTGCTTGAACCTAGGTTCGAAGGTATCGTGGAAACGAAACACTATTTTAGTAGCCCTTAAGTGCCAACTTATACAAAATGTCTTGTGTCTTGAAGATGTGTGCTAGAGAAATAGTCTAGTGTTTTTATATCCAACATGACGCGTTCCATTTCCTCCTCCGTCACCCTGTCTGGCCAGGCGGTCCGACCACAGGCGGGTACTGGCTCCCCGGGACAACCTCAACACTCCCAGCTGAAAGTCAATCCTTCTCCCAGTTGAGATCGGTTGTTTAAGTGAATTTTGTCATCGCTGAAAGTGATCAGTCATTATAGTGTACCTGTGTCTTTCGCTCCACAGCTGCGAGCGAGCACACTCAAACAACGGGAGTAATACCCAGATAGATTCATCGCTGTATGTTGCATTGACACAGCTAGGTTAATTCCTGGTGAATGGATCCTCGTTAGTGGCGATACATCAAACCGGAAATCACTCACCACACTGTACCGACACTCGAAGAGAGGCATAACGGATACACCATTACCAGCAGCTTCAGTAGACTTAATATTTTATGTCATGCGATAAATAAACCAAACCAATTAATAACGTTAATGTGATGTTGTTCCAGCACTCGTCGCGGAGCCTCTAACATCACATACCCTCCATAGCACGGGTGTATATTACAGGGGGCGTCTTCCACTTGGGATCCGATGTCAACACACAGCTGTCGCCAATGACGAAGTGTCATGGCGTTAACCAGCGCCGCAGGATGTAGCGTGGATAGTTGTCAGGTAAACAGTGTGATAGATTGCAAGGGAGATAAGGACGGTTATTGGTCCATCAAACAGAGATGGTGACATGAGTTAAATTTCAGTTATTAAGGGAGAATCGCTGCTTAGGAACACTTCAGGAACATTAAAACCCTCGCTTGGCTGAATAAGATTGCAGTCGTTGAAGTGATATTGTCAATACGCGGGATGTATGTTGACTGCAGGTATGACAAACACTGTTAATGCGGGCTCTTTTCAATATTCCTTGTGATACAACTATGAGTCATGACACAAAGATGGTTCCATGACAGGTATAGTCCCCAGTGGGTTAGTGTAACTAATCAACAGAGTGAACAGTACACGAGTGATATCATCATGGTGTTTGAGTGTGTTAGCAGGAGGAGGTCATCCAGATGTTACATGTTTCCCCCTTACACTATATCCCATCTTATACCGGTATATCCCGCCTCTACACACCACTCCTACAACCAACATGTAAATCCCCACCCCATGTTATACCCGTATATCCCACCTCTACACACCACTCCTACAACCAACATGTAAATCCCCACCCCATCTTATACCCGTATATCCCACCTCTACACACCACTCCTACAACCAACATGTAAATCCCCACCCCATCTTATACCCGTATATCCCACCTCTACACACCCTTCCTATATCCCACCTCTACACACCACTCCTACAACCAACATGAAATCCCAGCCCCATCTAATACCCGTATAACCCACCTCTATACACCATTCCCACAACCAACATGTAAATCCCAACCTCATCTTACACCCGTATATCCGACCCCTACACACTACTCCTACAACCCACATGTAAATCCCTGCCCCATCTTATACCCGTATATCCCACCTCTACACACCACTCCTACAACCTATATGTAAATCCCAACCCCATCGTATACCCGTATAACCCACCTCTACACACCCTTACTACAACCCACATGTAAACCCCAACCTCATCTTATACCCGTATATCCCACCTCTACACACCCTTACTACAAACCACATGTAAATACCAGCCCCATCTAATGCCCGTATATCCCACCTCTACACACCACTCCTACAACCAACATGTAAATCCCAACCTCATCTTACACCCGTATATCCCACCACTACACACCACTCCTACAACCCACATGTAAATCCGAGCCCCATCTTATACCCGTATATCCCACCTCTACACACCACTCCTACAACCCACATGTAAATCCTAACCCCATCTTATACCCGTATATCCCACCTCTACACACTCTTCCTACAACCAATATGTAAATCCCAACCCCATCGTATACCCGTATAACCCACCTCTACACACACTTACTACAACCCACATGTAAATCCCAACCTCATCTTATACCCGTATATCCCACCTCTACACACCCTTACTACAAACCACATGTAAATACCAGCCCAAAAATTATGCCCGTATATCCCACCTCTACACACCACTCTTACAACCAACATGTAAATCCCCACCCCATCTTATACCCATATATCCCACCTCTACACACCACTCCTACAACCCACATGTAAATCCCCACCCCATGTTATACCCATATATCCCACCTCTACACACCACTCCTACAACCCACATGTAAATCCCAGCCCCATCTTATACCCGTATATCCCATCTCTACACACCCTTCCTACAACCAACATGTAAATCCCAACCCCATCTTATACCCGTATATCCCACCACTACACACCCTTCCTACAACCAACATGAAATCCCAGCCCCATCTTATACCCGTATATCCCACCTCTACACACCCTTCCTACAACCAACATGTAAATCCCAACCCCATCTTATACCCGTATATCCCACCTCTACACACCCTTCCTACAACCAACATGAAATCCCAGCCCCATCTTATACCCGTATATCCCACCTCTACACACCACTCTTACAACCAACATGTAAATCCCAACCCCATCTTATACCCATATATCCCACCACTACACACCACTCCTACAACCCACATGTAAACCCCAACCTCATCTTACACCCGTATGTCCCACCTCTACACACCCTTACTACAACCACCATGTAAATCCCAGCCCCATCTTATACCCGTATATCCCAACACTACACACCCTTCCTACAACCAACATGTAAATCCCCACCCCATGTTATACCCGTATATCCCACCTCTACACACCACTCCTACAACCCACATGTAAATCCCCACCCCATCTTATACCCATATATCCCACCTCTACACACCCTTCCTACAACCCACATGTAAATCCCAACCTCATCTTATACCCGTATATCCCGCCTCTACACACCACTCCTACAACCCACATGTAAATCCCAACCCCATCTTATACCCGTATATCCCACCTCTACACACCACTCCTACAACCCACATGTAAATCCCAACCCCATCTTATACCCGTATATCCCACCTCTACACACCCTTCCTACAACCCACATGTAAATCCCAACCCCATCTTATACCCGTACATCCCACCTCTACACACCCTTCCTACAACCCACATGTAAATCCCAACCCCATCTTATACCCGTATATCCAACCTCTACACACCACTATTCCACACCTCTTTAGTACAACACATCCTAAAACGAAACTCTGTACCCAAACATTATATCCCACATCCATATCCTACCCCAATATCCCACACTCTTATTCCACACCTCTTTAGTACAACACATCCTAAAACTAAACCCTGTACCCAAACATTATATCCCACCTTTATCCCCTACCCCGATACCCCACCTCTTTAGTACAACACATCTTAAAACCAAACACAGTACCCAAACATTATATCCCACCTTTATACCCAGCTTCTATATAAGGGCTCTACATACTTTTACACCATACCCCGATATCCCATCTTCATACCTACAGTAAACCTCACTTCAATAACACTATCCTATACCAACCCACTATATCACATACACGTTACCCCACCTATCTACTATAAGCGTATATCTCGCCCCTACACCCACCACTATATCTCTCGATATATCCCACTTCTTTAACACAAGTCTATCCCTCAACCTTATGCCCTAGCTATATCCCACAAGCCTATATGACACCCCTAAGTATCAACCTCACTATCCCAGCCTGGGTGATCAGTGGAGGTAGTAAGCCAGGCCATTTCCCTGGTTCAGCTTAGCACAAAACTTGATCAATGAATCAATCCGATTCTGAACAAAGCAATATATAATTTCGAGCTGAACAACTCAACTGCAATATCGTTCATTGTCCCAGGCTAGACGAGTACAACCTGATCATGCAACACGCTGTAGTGGATGGTGTGTCTTGTTACGTGCTCGTTCCCAGGTTGAAACTAAAACGTTAACCGGCAATCAGTCCATAAAAAACAAAGACATGTGATATAATTAAATTATTGTATTCTCAAATTAACAAGTTCACAAATCAATACAAATCAGTACAATCAATGAAGACCATGCTGAAAGGTTCTCATTAGGTTGGCCAACTATTTGACACACATGACAGGTATTCATAAATTCAACCACGTCATGCCGCAAATACGGCCAAGAGAAATATCACAAGTTTTGTTCACACCTAAATTACTTGCCAAAGGAGTTTCACACGCCAAACTCAGCTGATATGTTGATGAAAACCTTCCATACGCACTTGGCTCTTGACAACCAACAGGACCAGTCGAACATTTTCCCCTGTCAAATCACTCCAAATAAGCAAGTCCACACCTTTATAAGGGAGAGTGTCTACAAGTAATTCAATCCAGACACCATGTCAGCCTTCAAATTCACAAACTGGAGAGGGTGGCTCCCTCTAACAAAACCTCAAAATGGGCTTATGACTCCTCGGGAAGTGTCAACACATCATCCAGTTCAGACTTTGATGGCTGATGACTGTGACTTGACATTCACAAACACATTGGTGGATGTATGATTGTATTTCTAAGTGAGCTTCCTTCACTCAGACATAATATGCCCGGGCTTACCGCAATATTTACAAGTAGGCTCTGACGAAAATCAAGAAGTATGTTCAGAACGAACTGGAGTAGAACTTGATATTTTAGTCAACAAACTCAGAACAAGACCTTGGAATGTGTGAACGAGAACTAGGCGAGGTTAAGCTAACGTTTCCTGGTTTATTACCCTGTCAACTCATGCGTGAAAACCCTGACTACCTATGAACGAATCATCATCCGCCAATGTAGCTGGCTGGTGCAACTGTTCAACTTTCTGCTCATCAAGATAAGTCCGACCATTGACTTCTCTTGAAGTACACCAAGTATCAAACAAAGTTTCCTTCTCTTCAGCAACCACAACAAAAGTAGTCCAAACTCAACAAAATTAGTACCATCCTTTTCTCAGCCGACCTAAACCTTTGCCTGTAAGCTTCAGGAACCAACCCATAAGCCTTCAAAAGTGCAGCCTTAACTGTCTGATAATCAGAACTCCTATCAATAGAAGACAGAATATACGTCCTGAGCTTTTCCCCTAAATACACTTTGCAAAAACATAGTCCACAGACTTTCAGGCCATTTCAAATGGTTAGCCACCTTTTCAATATACTCTTGGAGTGATGGCCTTGTACTTCGAGTTGCTTCATTTGAATCCGAAATTCTCTTTTCTTTTTCTTTTTCCAATCAGACTTTTTCAGCATCAGCTTTCTATCTCAAATATTCTTTCTCTGCTTCAATTTCCAACTGCACCATCTGATTTGTTTTGTTCCATGTCCAGTATCTATCTTTTTAATTATAATGTCTTCAGAACCAAAATGTCATTCTTCTCCTTCCAGGAACGTGATCCAAACTTTCTGGACATCTGCCTTAAGCATACCAGATTTGATGTAAAGTTTGTAATATTTGGCCAATTCGACCAATTCAGATTTATTAGCTTGAAACCAACAAACAACAAAGAAGTTCATTAACAATTGTATTCTAAAACTAACCAAGTTCACAAATCTCTACAAAAGTATCACTATGGTAGTACAGAAT